ATTGGTTAAATATGAGGGAAATACACATATAATAAGCGTATTTATGTAGCACTACCCTACTCCAGGGGGTGTCAAACACAAATCATTTCTAATGAGCACAGGTCTTTCACCTCTCACAGGTAGAACCCGTGCAGACAGCGTTCGATTTCTACATGCGGCTAAACAGGTGTCCAGCAAAATGAAATTTAAGTGCATTGACAGTCGCTCGGTTTCGACACTCCTGCTGCGAATGGCAATAGACTCGTGTATGACCTGAGTGCCCCGCGCCATAATTCAGTTGCTCTTTGGGTGGAAACCAGTGTTTGCCAGACAGCATTCAGCAGTAAATCAAATTGAATGGATTGTTGCCTGGGTGAACTTCGAATCGGACTTCCACAGGCAATTCGGCAATGAACTTTGCCTTAATTAAAGCGATAAATGGAGAGAGGGTAGGCCGGTAAATGGCTTGGAAAGCAGATTAAAAACTATAAGTCGATCAGACTCATGTTCTGGCCATTGCCAATGTAATCTGTATGCAGAACCTTACATCATAAGCCTCTAAGACTGAGCGGAAATGTACTTGGCTCTTCGAATGTTTCGATTCTCAAGCCTCAGGCTAATTAGGAAAGTAGCAACACAGGTAACAGCTCGCCTGTAATCGCATTAGACCACACAAATTAGCAGCAAACAGAAGCTCCAGACGCCCATCATTAGAAATGACTTAAAGGCCTCCATAATTCTGAGTGGCTTCCTCGTTTTGGACACAGTTAATTAATTAATAACCTAAGACTTACAGCAAGTGCTGTTGACTGGTGACTGGGTGCGTGCTTAGCCATATTCCATTTCCTTTTAACTCTTCAAAGAGAGAGAGATTACTTTCATTATGAACAATTGTTTCGAGTAGTGTCATAACTTACGCCCACGTGCTGGTGGCACGGACGCACTGGCAACCGTCTGACCAAAAATGGCTTGTTGCATGCATTACGCAAAGAGCCACTGCTGACAGGTGAACAAATGGGGGCGTCAGCAGCATCACCAGCAGAGACAACTGCAGCGGACAGAACGGGGGCTATTTCATGATGCAAGTGTGGAATACTTAAACTAAAAATAGCAACAGCTGGAAATGTTCCCAGAATTGTCATGGTCCCTCCTGATGTAAGGGAGTGTAGAAAAAAGGGTTTCATACATTTATTCATCCACAGGCACAGGCACGGACAAAAGCCACAAACCGAATTGCTACTTGTTTTTGCTAGTTGCAGCTACCCATACTGCTAGCTGATGTTGTTACCGATGTTGGTAACTGGCTGCTATCGCTATTCCTATTCCCATTCCTATTACTTTGTTGACTCAGATGCTGCCTGAGTGCACTCTTGGAACGGTTTTTTAGGACAAACAGAGCTCAGGTGCCGGTTGTTTTGTACTAAACATCAAGAGGAAATTGAAAATGTAAAAATTGATTTGTTCCCTCTGCCCAAATATTCCCTGTTATATGTGAGCTACTGACCCTCTGCAATGGTTTACCCATGGGACGAGGAAGTTTGAATAACTTTTCCCCCTGAAGACAACCCACCCTTAAAGAGCTAGCAGCATCAGCAACAGCAGAGTTAATGGCATCACGACCATCTGCTGAAATATACATAAAAGTCAGTATATTTGAAAACTTGTATAGGAACGCTAGGCCCTTTTAAAGGTTTTAAATTCAGAGAGTTTTTGCCGCTTTCTTTCCTGCTAGTAATCAATCAGGCACATCATTATTTGGAAAATAAGTAAGAGCTCAGTGAGGGCATCTCAAGGGTAATTAATCGTGAAAATTTCAGCTAAGGAAATAAAATTCATTCGCAAACACATAATTAAATAGTCCTCCTACATTTTCACACTAACTTTCTGCTTCCTTCCACCCTTTGAAGTGCTTAAACCTTTTTAGAATCCGCGGAAAAGCCAAATTAAAATGTGTACACATTCAACGGATAATTTGTTTACACCCGACGAGCACGCAACAAATTTGTGCACGAGTACTCTTAATTGACAAAAACATAAATCAAATGAAAATAAGATGTTCCCAGAACTATCCTCTACGGCATTTGTTTAGCAGAAAGCTAAATAAAATTACCATGGCTGGACATGATCTCTGACAGAGTGCACTTATTTAGCTCTCTTTTGAATGGCTAAATTAATGTTTCGGTTCCACATATGAATGCCGTGGTATTCAGTCATTGTCCTTTGCGGGCCTCAGCAGCTTAAGGTTGATGTCAAGGTTACTGACTGCAAAAATATTTCAATTAGAAATTCGCTGTCGAGAAAGTTTTCCCGTGAAACTTTCGCCTACAACTTTCACCTTAATTTCCACTGTTTCTTTTTGTACGCTTCTGGGGAATATTCAAGGTTTTGTCTTTGTTCCTTTTTTGTGCTGGCAGTAAACTGTTGAATAACTACAAATCGGCTTGAAGTTTCAGTCTAAGTCCAAATTGATGCCTAATTTATGGCTACAATGGCAATGGCTAAAAGGCAGAGCAACGACTGGCTGGTTCAAATATCCTTCCCGTCTCGTCTGTTATTACATGCTGCGGTGTTGGGGACACATTTTTAATATGTACATTGAGGCATAATTAAAAAGTAGTGGCATTCAAGCAGAAATCTGTGGCAGAGTCCCTCTCACAGCTTTGGAAATTGCTTACATTGTGGGACAACAAAAAATGCATAGAATATTGTTAGACCAAGGAGAAATTGTGGCCATCCTTGGGTGATACACTTTGGAGAAAAGTTGAGTTACAGAATATAGATAAAGAATTGCAGTACGAGGAGACCCTCAAGCTCATATATTTTGTATGTACGCCTTAAGAATGACGCAAGAGCGTCATTTAATATGCAGCTTCCTGCCTACTGTTTGCTCAAGTAAAGGTCATTTTTTTGACTGTATCACTCAGTCTGCCACCCCGTTGTGGAGCGTTGTGTTCCCCCATTGATCTCTGCTTTTAACGTATTTTCTTTTCTTCTTTATGAATCTGGGGACAGTTTCTGCCAGCAATTTAAAGAATTTTCCGTTACCTGTGGATAGGGAGTTGCTTGTGTTCCAAGAACGTGAGGTAGGGCACAGCCCTCCGCAATCAGATTGTCGGCATCCATCAACTGCCACCTGCCACATTTTAATTACGCATACTCAGTGTAAGGCAGGACCAGCCACAAATATGTGCCGCAAATTTCAATTGAGATATATGGCATCGGAAAGAGGGGAAATGGAAAAAAATAAGTTAAGCATAATCCCCTCGATAATGACATGCCTGTAATCTGAATTGAATTCATTTATTAATGTCCCCTGGCGATACGGCAAACAGAGACAGGGGACGGCCACAAGGAGCACGAGATCCAAAGAGCAGAATAATAATATAAACGTGCTATGTAAATTTGCCTGTTTGTGGCCGGGGCAGAGGCACAAATAAAGCTCAGCCAGGGAGCAGATGTAAGGATTCAAACAGAGAGCACATGACGGAATTAAACCAGAGGCGCCAGCCCCGCACAAAGGCCGCTGAAAGATAAATCAATGTTTGGATTTCCCGGGAACATTTAAGGAGACAAAACAGCTAAAGTTGAAATTTATTTGAAAGCGGCAACTATTGTGTGACTCCACCTTTAGCCTTGGCAACGAATTCTGCTTCTAATTCCCCACAAATTAGGCACAAAAGAAGAGAAACTGACCTGAAATCGAATAGCAGCAAGCGTAAATTAAATTGCGACCAAGTTCGAAGCGGTTTTGTCGCCATGGCAGCATCTTCACCCTGTAATCAATGAGTCTAGTGGTGTATTTCTGGGAGTACTAAAGGTGTGAGCTACTTGGGGAGGACAACGGCATAAAAATCAATCCAAAAGAAAATTAACAACTAAATGGGGAAGTCATGGAGTGAAACTGCAGAGCAGAGAGCCAGGAAACATTGCTAACTTCACATGAATAATGGGCAATTTCAAGTCGATCAAATGCACTAAATCTTACAAATCATTGGCCTTTTCGTACATTCCTATAAAAATCAATTGCAAAAAAAAAAAAAAATCTCAGCTAATCGTATTTACAAACCAGAGTATCGTATTGAAGGTTGATTCGTTTACAATTCATTGGCAGACCACAATCCTACGTGGTCTCAGTGGCTTGTAAATAATACTAATTGCAATTGAATATTTCCATTCTTCTTTGCTTTGCCCTTTCGCATTGTTTGGCTTATCAATTAATTTCTGTTTGTCTTTTTCGAAATTCTTCCTTAGAGGCAATCGCAGCGGAGTGAAATGTGCTTCGGGTATTTGTGGCTCTGCACAAATGTTTACCTCTGGAAATTGCAAATTTAATCTAAGCATTGGCCAGGCTATTGTTCCGTGGCAATTTCAAATGATTTCCCCAGCTAGTGGTATGCTAAGCCATCACATCACGCTGATTACATTATGTGTGTGCAGATGGCTGGATGCCCCCCGTTCAAGCATCAAAGTGGCAGCTATAAGAGGCCATGAGCACGCATTCAATTATGTTCATGTCATCGCAGTAACCCCAATGCCAAATAATCTACAACTCACCTTCGAAACCCTTCGAAATATGCATGCATATATGGAAATACTATTTGCTGTTTACACAACTCGAGTTACGAACAACGATTACTGTAGCTATTTTTCAGTTGCTATTTGGGTCTGGGTCTTCCCATCCAGACGTCTGCCCGACAGCAAACTTGATTTGTTTGCAGCAGAAATCAAAGCATCAAAAGACCACAACAGAAAATACAATTAATAAAACGAAGGAGAGAGAAGAGCTATGGACATGCAAGGATAAGCAGAATCTGAATTACAATTGTTTCCAACTGTTCTCCATTGACTTTTGCTCTCTGTCGCTCTGTTCTCAAAGCGATTGCAATCATAGCTGCTGCTGCTGCTGCTGCAATTCGCATAAAGGCAGCCCAGCCAATAATAGTCAAAGCTTTTAACCAAATGAATTCATATTCAATGTACATATGAGGATGACTCTGTATGTACATGATGGATCAAGTACATTTTTTTACTAAAGATAAGAGTTCACTTAGACATAGCGGTTAGACATCCACATTGCAGTGTTGACAGCGACCATTGACGATGGTGTTGCCGCCTCTCCGGTAGATAGTTCCGCCTTCACCTCCACCTGCTCCTCGTGAAATGACCACATTTCCATTGCTGTCGGGTGAGGAGAAGCTGCGGTACTCCTGGCCATCCAAATACACTGGATCTCCGTGGGGATTGGGACCTGTTCCACCGGAGCAGAGATTGGGAATTATCTTATTTATGGTTGATCAAATGCAAGATATCAAATAATGCTTACACGTGAGGCAAACACCATTTACAACCACAGTGCCGGGGTAAGCTGTATGCAAGTCATAAACAAAGAACAATCAATTAACAGCAGCTGAGATGCAATCTCATTAACGAGCTTACCGCTGATCAAAGCCGGAATCAGCGCCAACGAGAGCAGTGCACACGCTAAGTACTTCATGATAGAATCAACTTCAACAGCTTACTGTCCCACCTCTCACGCTGTTTATATAGTTTTCGCGGTCGCTCAATCGCTCAATCGAAAACGATTTCTTTATCAATTTGCATATTGCGATAAGCCGTGCAGTTCACGGCAGTGCGCTGCTATTAATCTATCAAAGCGACCTGCACTCGTATTTTAAACTATTGTTTTTACCTCAGAAACTCTGATAGAACGTATGGGCTTTTCCCTATTCATATTGATGAAACCATCATATAATTGATTTCCCTGAAACTTGAACAGCAACATTTATGATGTTCTAGACAGACACACCCCAAAAAAAATTACAATTTATATCGTTGAAAGTTGTACGAGTGTTCAGCATGAATGGCAAACAATTCTCGGGAAGTCTAGCTGGAGAAAAATTCCCTGATTTGGAGATGCATAAAACTTGTTCAAGTCGTGACTCGTGAGTACTGAAACCTAACCCCACCGAAGGTAGCGCATCTATTTGACAGACTGACTGACTGATGGACTGCTAATTGCTATGCCCAGTGCCCATTGATTATAAAGGTATATTGGGTTCGTGTGTATTTGAACACAAAGCGCAACTCCCGATGGGAACTGTCATAAGCCACATAAATCTAAATGCAATATCTCGTATCTTAACACTGATCAAACAAATTATCAGAACTTGAATCCATTATAAATGCATCAATAAAATAAACGGTCATCGCCAAGTGGGCAGACTCGACTCTCAGCCTCTTGGTTGTTTTTCGAAATGTATCTCTGGGCATTTCCCTGCTACGATTATGCTCGATGGGATCCACAATGAGCAGCGTATATAAGCGGCTGCTGTGAGGTGCACTTGCCCCAGACCTGTTTGACACTTCATCATGAGACATTCGGCGGCATTTGTGGTTCTCGCACTCTGTGCTTTAGCTCTAACCGAGGCAGCGGTTTACATTGGCGGCGGCTGCTACAACTGTAAGGCAATCAATGCCACATTAATGGAACACCTCATAACAGTTTGATTTCCATGGTTCTTTCAGGTAACCCGCCCAACGGACAGGGTCCCGGCATCTATACGGGTGGTGGAAACGGAGGAGGCGGTACACCCAACTACTACAATCAAGGAGGCGGCCGAGGCGGTGGAAGCAGCAGTGGTCGTCCAGTTTACTCCGGTAACTTTGGCCCAAATGGATACAGTGGTGGCGCTGTCGGTCGAGGAGGTGGCGGTGGTGGCAGAGGAGGTGGCGGCGGCTATGACGATGGTCTGACGCAAGTTATACAATTTAAATAATGTTGCTACCTTCTTAGAGTTAGTAAGCTAGTTTTAGCTAAACTAAAGAAAGTGATTCTAATAATTGTACATATGTATATGTATGTGTAACTGATGTATTTAATTGTAAGTCCCAATGCGCTTTGTTTATTGGCTAATGAATTTTGTTTTAAATTTGTAAATATTTTATTTTTCTAGCAACAGTTTTTCGTTGCTTATAGACTTACGATTAGTAAGATGAAATGCACTTTTTATATTCTTGCTTAAGCTCTACAAACATTCTAATTGAATTTAAAAATAATCTGGACAAAATACTGTGTGGAAAATGTTTGTAAATCATAATCTTTCCAGAGCTTTTATGGAGCTGCAACTAAGCTTAAAGTAACAAATTTCGTTTAACACCTCACTCCTACACTACCGAAAAGCTATTCAGTAATAATCGGCTGAAGTATTATCCATTGTAGTACCATAATCACACAAAAGCAATAATATAGGGCTTATGAAACTTCTGGGGGGAGTGCGCAAGCAAGGAAAACTCTGCAGAATCTAATTTGTAAGAGGAGCACAACGTCAATAAAACAGACTCTGGAATGGTAAATGTATAGGTTCCTTCGTATCTAATAATAGTTTCAATTATAAATAATATATTTTGGCTTAAATCATATTATATAATATTTTCTATAACGAACCGGCAAAGCACGCATGCACCTAATATTATTTATGGCTTGGCATTTGAATCGTTTTGCATTAAGACTGAGGAAAATACAAATAAGTATTTGCAAAAACATACTTGAACACGTTTTTATGAAAAATCCTGCACATAGTACATGTGTATCTCCCCACCCACTGCTTTTTCCTCCCCACCAAATTGAAAAATTCCCTGTTAAGGTGCAACAGATTTAAAGGCGCTTAGGGAAATCTTTAAACGAAACCTTTAAAATATTTCGTTATGAGTTTCTTCGGTAGCAAGCTGAAATTGTACGTTTTAGGGCAATATTGAAAGAATTTTTTGATTTTATTTCGCAGCCAAAAGGCCATAAATTTATAAGCCAGGGTGAGCCAGGGTGTGTCTGGGCCATATATTTGCTGCCCAGTTGAGCATTCGTTGCTCGATGGTTTTATATGAATTTTACCCTTGGGAAAACGCTCCCAGTTTTCCACGATTTATTATCATACGGGTTCTAATTCCCTTTTTTGGACTTTTGCTTACCTTTTTAGTTTTATGTGCCAACTAAAATGAACGATTAGTTTTTCATTCCTCAAATTACGTTCATGTAATTCATTAAAGCTGTCAGAGTCGACTTTCAACTGCTTCGGCTGTAATTAATGCATAACCATCTCTGCATAAATTCAAACGAATTTTTGCAAATATATGGAATAAATGGACGCTCCTTAATTGAAAAGCTGAACTGGCTAAATTATATAGTTTACCTTTCGACTGACAGCGCGCAGCTGAAATTCAGTTGGAATGAGTTTTGAGTGGAATTCATTAGATACTCGTAAATGTTTGGGAGCCATGGAAACTTCGAGCACGGCCACTGGAGCTGTGGGCTGGGCAGCGAAATTGATAACCAATTCGAAGTTTTAGAGACTTCTCCATTTTTCAGTATTAATTATAAGACAGAGGTCCTTGTTAAACATGCAGCGCATTGAATTTCCATCAGCCAAGACCCCAGCAGCCTTTGTGCATAACCCCCACCACTTAATTGACTCAATTAAAAGTTCGATTTAGAACCATTCGAGCGCTCAACCCCAAACCATGCACACAGAAGCAATTTAAATACGGTGATAGCATTCATTAGGTGTATACAGAGAAGTGCATAAGCCATGAAATGCTTATTGCTTACTTGTTGATCAGCGGAATTTAGATACAAGATTTAAGGATTTCATTGTGTATTTCTTAAATTAAATAAACAAACAAAAAGTATAGAAATTAAAAACAATTCCCAGAATAACAAAAACAACAAATATATTATTTTCAAAGGTAGTCAATTTTGCACGGCCATCCGAGGCATTTCTTTGGCAACTTCCACTTGAATCTCGTGCAAATGACAGCCTCGAAAGCAATGGCTTGGCTGCGGTATAAAATTGCTACTTGAATGCATTTCAAAGACAATTTTAATCGAGGTTGGAAAAATATTACTCAGCTCAACGATTTCTTTCAAATAAGTTGATGCTCGTTAATGCTGAAAAGAAAACTGCGTTTTTCCAGCTAATTTCATTTGGTTTTTCTATGCCATTTCGCTTACCTTGTGGAGCTCGTGCTACAACTCAATGTCAAAGTTTGCCAGAACAAGTACTTAGCTACAGTGACAGTCTCGGTAATGGAGTTTAGTGCCTGGTGGAGCCATTAGCGTTCAATTTTCATGTTGCAGGAGCCAGCGAGGAACATTAACCTGGTCCAGTGTGCTGCAACAATGTACACAGGTAGCATCCAGCGTGGGAGGGAGCCACATGAGCAACTCTTGACCGCGATGGGAAAATATTATTCTTTGGTAACTTTATGCAGCATCAGCTTCTTCCCTCATATGCGCTGGAGTGGCTTGTGTTCTGATTAAATGTTTTGTTTGGTTTGGGAGTTATCCTACTACCATTTCTGCCAGCAGTCTGGACGTTTGGGGTAAGTAGTTTCACTTACAGCGTGGCTGTCGTTGGTGCATACCTTTGAGGGCAAATGCAATTAAACTTGTCATCGGGGAGCAACAGCTGGAGCCGATGTACTCGCGTGTGCTCTGATTGCAGTTGAAAAAAAGTCACTAATATAGTTAGCAAATGGTTGAAAGGTTGCCAACGAGACCGCACGTGTATAATTTTAGATTGCTCCATCGACTTGCGCATTGAACGAAGCTTATTAGTATTTCGTTGGTGGCCGCTGCAAAAATGTAATATGCACCGACAGCAGCTATTGAAATTCGGAAACAAAGGCAAACTATTTGAGGTATTTGGCTCTGTACCGTAACGGTTATTTGTTCGCACAATTTCTATTCATTTGTTGATGGAAATCTGATCTGGTTTCTACTTTATGACTGGGAATTACTTCGAATTTGTTTCAAATCAGTTTTAAATTCTATTAAGAAAACTCTTGGCTAAACACACATTTTTCTGGCCCTATGCACTACGGAGAAAAGCTGAACCAATTCCTTGGAAATTTCTTTGCTCGAACACCTGTAAAAATATGTAATCTCCAGCTCCCACTGATCCAAGGGGAGGTCAACAAAGTATGGAATGCTTGGTAGAATTTATTTCCATTGAGGATTTCATGCATCACTTGATGCTCGGCATGCTTCTGTCTAAAGTCGGAAGAACAAGCGTAGTTGAACATCGTGAATAATAAATTTATTTGAAATATACATTTAATGTAGCTTAGCAGACTAAAGACAAACCAGTGCCGCTTTCCGACCCCGTAACCCACCCAACCATATCCCAGAATACACCACACATGACACCATCGAGACAGAGAGAGAGAAATGAGAGGTAGGGAGAAACAAAATGCTTGGCATTTTCATTTGGACAACCGAAGGACAACCAAAATATTAAAACTCAATCTCAAACCACCACAGGTCCAGACCGCATGCATATCCACAACCACATCCCCACAAACCCACCCACCAATAGCACCCACCCACATTCATTCGTTGGACTTTGATTTACGGCAGGAGTCGCACCACAAACAGAATCAGGAGCAGGGTCAGCTGCGTGCCCAGCCATTGGCGGGCCAGATGTGAGGCTTGTCCGCAGATATTCTCGAGAATGGCGCAGTTCCTGAAGTGCTTCTCGTCGGATAGCATTTTTGCCGTTTCCCTTGCAAACTCCGCCGAGTTCTTGTAGCACTTGTACCTCGCGCTGTTGTAGATGCAGTTCTCGTAGGCGTAGCGGGCACTGAAAGAGATGCCAATTATTGAGTTTTTTGAGTTTTCTCCTGGCCATTAAGCACTCGATTCGCAATATCGAGGAGTCGCCACTTACCAACAGAATTCCATGAATTTGTCGCTCGCATTTCGCGTCCCATCGTGTACTTCCTCACTGAGGATGCTCTCGAACTCGGATGTGCAGCTGACCCAATCCAATTGGATGTATGCGAAGCAGTCCTTGTGCCTCAGGTAATCTGTAAAAGTCAAGCAACACATGCTCGTAATTGAGTGCATGGATAATGTTACCGGACACTTAAAGTTCTGTCAAGTTGAGAGTCCTTGTTCGAGCTGTGTTCCGACCTTAGCGGGAATTTCTTTTTGGGGTCTTTGTGAGCATATTCTCAGTGTGAGCCACGGGATACATGCTTGGCTTCCCGTCTGTCTATCTCACTGTTGGGTATCTGCGCCGCGGGTGTGCTAATGTCTAGTTGAGTCTAAGCTTGCCAAATTGAATTCCTGGCCGTCAAAGGTTGTCACACGTTGCTTTTCTTGTGTGTATGTCTTACCTCGCTGAAAATCCACATCGCCGCAAAATTTATAGAAAAATCGACGGGCTCCTTCCACATTGTTCTTAAAGGTTTCCAGCTTACGGTCGTTCAGGCACCGCTTCGAGTAGGCATCGAAGCATTGCATGCCACGATTGAAAATGCTGCAAAACAAACATATGTATGTAGTCCCATTTCAATGTAATAATTGAGTAAGCTTTGGGTGTTTTGGTGGAGCCCTAGAGAACACGACAAATCGCGCACAATCGTTCCAGTGCGTTGTCCAAATACAACTGTTGCCAGGTACTACTCCCACACAAAGGGAAGTCAGCAAAGTATTCGCTTCGATACCGACACATTTCGTAAATAATAAACTTAACAAGGAAGCCAACAGCTTCAAACAATCTTGAGTATTGTCCCCAGCTGCTTTATTGCTATTTGACAGAAACTTGATACGGTTCATGAAATGCCAACACTTTCGCTGACTGTATCAAATCAAATTTAACCAATTTTAGAAGTAAGTCCAAAGAGGTTCATAAATAATAGGAAAACGGCGGCATACTCATACACTAGTGACCCTAAAGACCCCCTGCGCGCTTAGAAGATGATTCGCCTTTGAGTTTAGGAAATCTTTTAGCAAGAAAATGGCCTCCCTATTTCGTGCTCATAAACTAGTAAGCTTATGCTATCCCAGAGCGCTACAATTTCGAGGGAAGAAAACCGGAATGTTAAGCAGCAAACTTCAGAGGAATTTGTATGAAGATACTCTTCGTTCCCTCCTTTCCTCCTCCAATCGAAGTGATTTTGGAAGTTTTGCATGAAAATACTTAGGCGTTGGGCACCAATCAATCCACAAATCTAGGCGGGTAGCAACAGCTTCCGAGACCCAGGTGCTTATAAAAGTCTGTCATAGTAGTACAGGAGGCACAACCAATTAATTGATCAATTAATTAAATGATTTAGTTAAATGTAGCTTTAACTATGAGTCCTTTGTTATCCGTATCACTTAATCACCAGACAAAAATACTCATTAATAGTTTTCAAATTCCCGAATTAATTGACTCGTTGTGGAACTTGATGTTAAAACAATTAATCAGCCAACTTTCGTCCTCGAAGCGACACTCTCGCGTTGTTTCTTGTCCCTGAAATAAGGTAAACCCTGTAGAGTGCTTTCGACGCCCTCTGGACCTGGTCAAATAAGAATAAATTAAACACCCGGCACCGGCTGTCGAGAGCAGTCTGAGTGAGACAATCAATAATCCGTGAACGCATGTTTCCTCATGCGGAGCCCACTCTTAATTACTCACACTCGTAAGTCCCATGAAGTTCTGGGAGCTGTTGTCCGACTGATTGCTTACTTGCACTTTGTCATGATGTCCCTCTTGCTGATGACTATTTTGGTGTTCTGCAGGAACTCCATCAGATGTGGCGGCAAGTCCTTGAAGCACTCATCCACCATTCTCTGCGTGCTGCCGCATTCCTCCCGCAGAGTTGTTGCCGGCGGTTTCGTTTCATTTTGGCCAAGTCCGGGCACCGCAATCCCAATCAGTATGATTGCCAGCCCGAAAACTATGAACATACAGGAGTTGTTTACGCACATCTTCAAAGGACACTTGTTGCCACGATAAAGGATAATAATTGACGGAAACTCTTGAGCTCTCGGGCAAGTCAACCGAACGAATGCTAACAGTGAACTGTGCCGGAAAGCCACACAAATCATCTTTAAAAGGACGCCAAGCTGAAAGCCCTGCTGTTAACTGGATGTTAGGTGGCGCATGCGCCAGACCCAGCACGTGTTTCCTCTTTTGTTTACGTTACAAAGGCAGCCGACTTCTTCCTCTCAGCCAGTCAGAAAGACACACAGACAAAGAACAACTCTTAGAAAAGAAATATGCGTTAATAACTTTGTATTTTTCTGTGACTAAGGCAAGTACACTGTACACTGGTCGACGGGACTGACATCGAAATATTGAATGTCTTTGCCTCCAGCTATCCTTACTGGAACTCTTTCTGTCTTTCTGTCTGAAATTCCAGCCTAGGGTGACAAACAAGCTCTCCTAACCGCACTGGTGTCGGGTTAATTACCTACATTTTATTTTAAGTGTCTTGTTCTGGCTCCAATGAAATCTGCCTCCATCAAACCATAAACATGCAGATGCAGAAGGCTTAGACATCACCGAATTTCCGTCGTTTTTTCTACTCCATCTCACATTAGACTGGTTCCAAGAAAATGTTTTCCTTAATCATGATTTCCCAAGAATTCTTAGCTAAGTCGTTTCTGGCCCATATGAAAATTGGCTACTAAATGTGTTGGTTGAAAATTAATTTCAATGAAATAACTGATATGAATATCGGTATTTATGTACGACATACATATGTGAATGTGATGGCTGGGACGTCTTATTCGTCATATTCTTGTTCTATTTGTAATTAAACCCAACATGATATGGTAAGAAAAAAATTATGGTAAGGATTAAATTATCAATATTTACTTATTTCTATTTGTGCGAAATATTGTTGGTCTCCGGAAAACCCTACCTTCATTGCGTGCGACAAAAGAATGGACTTTTCCTCTTTATTTTATTAGTTTAAATTTACAACCAGTGGAAATTAATAGGTGGCGGGAAAAATACTAAAGAACATGAAAACACTCAACAAGTTGTGAAGAAATTCAATCCGGTATATTTCTGAGGGTCATGCAGTATATTTTATCGATAAGTCCGCGGTCACCCCGTTTCATAACACACGACCGACCGCCTCAATTTTAACGAAATAAATCAATTAAAATGTCGAAAGCAGCCGGTAAATTGAAGTCCCTTAAGAAGACAGTCGAGCGGGTAACGCATACAAGCAAACTGAAGACCAACATACCCGCCGGCATGGCGGCAGCGGGTCCGCCACTGGGACCCATGCTGGGTCAGGTTAGTGCTAAACTACTCAAGAAAAAACACACTTGATGGTAAAGAGTTTTAACATTCACAGCGTGCCATCAACATAGCCGCATTTTGCAAGGACTTCAACACGAAAACAGCGGAAATGATTGAGGGCGTGCCCCTGCCCTGCCGCATATCAGTGAACAGCGATCGCAGCTACGACCTGGCCATACACCATCCGCCCGCGACTTTCTTTCTAAAACAGGCGGCGGGGATACAGCGTGGCACTATGACGCCTGGCAAGGAAGTAGCCGGCATGATTACCCTGAAGCATTTATACGAAATTGCGGCCATTAAGATCCAAGATCCCCCCAATGCCCTCCTGTCCATGCAGGTGCGTACAATTGGAACCAAAAATCATCCATGAAAACTAAAATTTACTTTGAACTCTTTTCAGCAAATGTGTGAGATGCTCATCAGCATTGCACGAACCTGTGGCATTAAGGTGGTACGCGATTTGGATCCTGCGACCTACGGCGAGTTTCTGGAGGAGCGCAAGATCATTGTGGAGCAGCAGCGTCGCGAGCTGCAGGAGAAGCGAGAGGCAAAGATGCTGCGCACGGGCTAGCTCGGAGGTGTTCAATATGAAAACTGTTTAATCGTTAATATACATTTATATCTAAAGAAACTCTAATCTAGACCAATCCGCTTTCTGTCCTTGGCAGCATTCTTCTTGCGCCTCTTCTCCAAATGCTTGTTCAGCTTTCCTGTGCTCTTCAGCAGTTCAAACTGGGCCACCAGCTCCTTGGCACGGCGTTCCTCTGCAATGTAACAATAGTTTAGTGATTCTGTTAACAAACAATCTACTGGAATGTACTCTTGGTGAGATAGTGAGGCTGCTGTCCTTCGTTGTGTGACTTTTGGATGTTGTCACGCTCCTTTTTCAGGGTTTGCTGCTTGATGTGCCACCGCTTGTCCTCCACATTCTTGTTGACGAGCCTCTGCATGGTGTGTTTAATTTTCTGCTTCTCCTCGGTATCCGCCACTTCGTCCAGTTGCTTTTTCAGTTGACCAACTTCCTTGTCACGTATTTTCGTCACAAACTTGTAGTTTTTCTTGAAGGTTTCAATGTTGTAGTCTCCGGACTTTTCATCGAATCGTGGATCCCGCAACTCAACCTCCTTTTTGCGCTCCACGCGGTGCTCAGCGCCCAGGAAGGGCACCTGTTTCCTCGAGCTCATTTCCCGCGGGCGATTTTTGTTGAGACGTTTGAGGTCCGTTTTGGATTTTTGTTTCTTTGCAGGGGCACTCTTGCTGCCCAGCACTGCCTCCTTGTAGACCTTGGCGCCCAGCTGCTCCTTCAGCTGCATTATCTCCTCGAAGGACATTCCCTTAAGATCTTCCCGAATGGCAGACTGAAATGAAATAACATTTAGTTCAAGCAAAACAATCCCAGCTTTTATTTTTTCACCTGGCTTTCATCTTCACTGACTGCCTCGGGCTCCGAGTCTGGCGCGGACTCACTAGAAGACGTGTCCATCGATTTAGCTCTCAAATATTTCTTTATTTACAAAATGTACAAAATTCTTCACGTGTTGTGGTTTTGTTGGGCACAGCTGACAGTGGTTTTATCGATAAATATACCGCAGACCCCCAAAAATATACCAAAAAATACATTCTTTTGTTTTAAATATACCATAGCTTCTCAATCATTTTCGTCGATTTTGATATTCTTATTAATAATGGCTGCTAGTTAGGACTCTCATATATAAACCAATTATTTTATTCGATTCATCCAATGATTCTCCACAAGATTAGTTAGTTTTCATGACTTCCTTTTATTGTGTTGTCAATACAAAATAAGTCTTCACAAAGCATAATAGAAAATTCCCTACGGAAAGGAGAGAAAGAGAACATACGTTGCCCAACACCACAAAATTTGAATTTAAATTGAAGATTTGTGACTACCAAAATTATAAAGTTATGATTTTGGAGACAAAGCTAAATGAGCTATAGTCCATTTTGATTTTTAATTTATCATATAATTACCAAGTTGGAAAATCGATCAATATGTTTGGGTTTTATCTACTGGTATCCCAAGAATCATCATGCCCAAATGGCTTTTTCTCTGTTGTCCCCAGCCAAATCTAAGAATCGGTTAATTTATATCCCTAATATTCGACAATAGCGTACTTACTTGTACAATTTATGCTCTCTAATCAACAGGTTGGTCATCCAGCACGGGCAATCCTCTATCGACCCCCCGCCATTGTCTTTATTTTCACTGTTCAATGACTTCACGTGCGCTAAAAACATTGACCTAACTTTATTCACATAAAGGTAAACATCAAGAACATCTATGGCCGGTGGGGGGTATGGTTTTATGATGACTATAACTTTCCATGCAGCTACATTATCACGTTTTGATGGCCAAGGCTGGGCGCCTTTTCACTCCCGCGATTTGTTTGCATTGCATTTGTGGCCAGACCGAGTCCTTTCAGCCGACACAAGCCATGCCGCGTAGGGCTTGGCTTGGCTAGCTAAAAAGTCAGCTGAACCATTTAACGGTCGTGTGATTTCTAGGTACACATAAGTGTAACACGCATGGGTTCGATTTCCTTTGGGGGTGTCTATTACCAGGAGCGTTTCAAAATGTTTGGCAGTCAGCAGCGAAGTTCCAATTGCTTCTAGAGACGCTCCTGGCCATGACGAAGACGCTTCGGCTAAGGCAGACTGTAAACACACGAGGACTGGGTCCACGTCCATTCACCAATTACGCGCCATTCGCTGCGGTGTCCTTAATTTCTTAAAAAGCGTTTAAACATCTAATGAAAGCGTTTTGGCCAGCGGTCTCTGCTGTCCCACAATTTAGTTTCATTTGGCTTTTCGCCCTGTGCGGTTCGGTTTTCGCAGGAGCACACAGCACAGACACAGGTGGAGTGACAGACACTCGATGCTGACAGCCAGAGGATTATGTCATTGAGGCAATCATGGCCAAGATAATATCCACGATCAAGGCAATTCTCACGAGGATCATCTTCAGTGCACACAGTCTGCTAGCCATTTGGCAGGTGACGACGTTCAAGAATGACATTATCTACTGGACACTATGCGGGCCACTGCTGCTGCTGCTGCTCGAGGGCATATTTACCATCATGATCAAGAAGACGCAGGAGTGGCGATGGTAAGAGATAAGCACACAGATCCTTCAGCAGGCAGACCTCTTTCCTTTGCTCTCTCCGTCTCCTGCCAATGTAAACAACAAAGGGGCTGACGGTCGCTGACGTCATCTTTGAGTTTTGATTTTCAATTAAAAGTGAAATCATGTGTTTAATGTGGCGACTGGCCTCAGACTGACCAACCCAACCTATCCGTAATAGTAAAAACTTTAATGGAATGCCGTGTGCGAACAGGGGTGTCAGTGGGTGATGTTTACCTTTCGACGCATCACTCGTAGACTTCGGGGACCATTGTTTGTTTTTGCAATTCCTCTTTGAACGCTCTCTCTCTCTCTTTTATGTCCAGGTTCTGCCCCTCGGTCTTCCTATATCTGAGCAGCATTGTGCCGGCCATTTGGCTTTTGGAGCTGGACAAGATTGAGCGACGACTGCAAATAATCAATGCTTCCACAGGCAACTCGAATGCCACGAATGCCAGCAGCAGCCTTATCGGTGGCAGCCCCAGCGGCAGCAGCAACAGCAGCGGCATGGATCCTGTGGCGGATCTGCTGGACGATGCTGGCATTAAGCTGCCCGTCATCAGTGCGGACACCTGGACGACACTCATCGAGCAGTTTCTCATGCTCATCCTGATCGTTGGCCGCTGGCTGCTGCCGAAGGGTGACCTCACAAGGGATCAACTGAGTCAGCTGCTTCTCGTGTACATTGGCACAGCGGCGGACATCATTGAGTTTTTCGACTCCTACAAGGATGACTCCATAGCACGCATTGGCTTTCTGGTCTACCTAACGCTGGGCATTTGGTCCTGGAGTCTCATGCAGTTTACAATTGTGCTGTCGGCCACGCGTGGTAGAAGACCACGCGGCAGTGGCTCACACCAGAAAGAGGAGTAAGTGGGGAATGATTATTAGCATTTATTTTATAGCAAATATTATTTCCATTTCCTTTTCTGATAGTCACGCGGACTGCTGTCAAAACTGCTGCTGTGGCATCGATGTGTGGGGCATTGTGCTCAATGTTATACTGCAGGACGCTCCATTCCTCACCTTTCGCCTGCTAATCATCTTCCAGTACAAAATCATCAACTACATGAATGTCTTCTTTACGTGTAAGAATTTAAATCTTCTGCCTTATAAATGATATTTCACACACTCTCTCCCCTTGTTTTTTTAGGTAAAAACTCACTGGTGATTATTCTGCAGCTCTATCGGCTGTATGTCGTCAACGCTGAGTTCTGGAAGAGTCGTCGGGAGAGTCGAATGGCCAAGTCGCGGCAGTTCCAGTCGCGTCGTCGCGTGCAGGATACGGACCAGAACAGCATTTATATGATATCCAACGAGCGAGGCGGCGATGTTAAAAAGAAAATTAAAAAGTGAGCAAATCCCAAAGAGTAGAAGGGAAATCGGCAATGACCTCTTTTTCACACAGGGCCAAAGATAAAGACTATGCCATACAGGAGGCCAGCTATAGCAAAAAGAAAAAGGACAAAAAGGACAAGTAAGTGTATAAATTGGTACGCCTCAAATGCAGTAAGAACCAAACTTTAATCCCAGAAAAAAACGCAAACGAAAGGACACTGGCTACTCCACGGCCAGCTCACAGAATCTGTATTCCACCAAGGCCAGCGGCACCGAGAAGGAATCGCGACGCGGCAAGGACAAAAAGGGCAAAAAGTCGAAGCGCATCTGCAGCAGCTCACCCAGCGACTGTGACCTGGCCAATGCCAAGAAGCTGAAGCGAGCCAAGAACGCCGATAAAAACGATAAGAAGTAGGTAATAACTGTTGTCCTGCCCAGTGATCGATTCACTCATTTGCACTGAACTCCAACAGGAAAGCCCGCAAGATCGAGGCAGTCATTGAGGAGTCGAGCAGCAGCAGCAGTGGCAGTAGCAGCAGCTCCGACTCCAGCAACTCGACGCTGCCCAGCTACGAGGTGATCGACGAGAAGAAGGCCAAGGCCCGTAGGCGCAAGCAGCGGGGCGGAGTTAGCAGCAGCGACAGCAGCTCCTCTGAAAGCAGCTCGGAGAGCTCCTCCTCATCGTCCTCATCGTGAGGTTGATATTTTTGGGACTAACGTTCAAGCGTTAGAGAAGCACTTTTTTGTGGCAGCCAGCCCCATTGTTGCATGGCTGCAGCGCTCCGCTCCAGGAGCGCACTTATTTTGTATAAACACCCATAAGAAGTGGTGTGGAAAATTTGTCGGAAAACATATATTTTGATATGTATTAACTGTATCCCTTTTGAATTTGAAAATAAAATGCGGGTTGCTGTCCAATAAGTTGGCAGCTCCTGCAGCTGGTACTCTCTTTGTAACGGTACTCTCTCTGATTCTCACTTCAATGAAAAAGCTGAGCACATGACTAATCGTATACCTAACCAAACTGCCGCTGCTGTCAAAGCTCTTTAAGCTTTCTGTAATGTCAGTCTTGTACTCTCTTGTTCTCTCTCTCTCTCTCTCTCTCTTTCTGCATATCTATATATACTTATATATAAATGCGCAAAGCTTAGCAACGCGAAACGAACAGCTGCCAGACAACAACGCTAAACTTTTTTGTTGACATACAGATAACTGTGTCGGTGGGGAGCTATTGCTTGCTGTGTTGCTGTAACGACGGAATAGTTGCTGCCGAGCGTCCAAGCGCTGCGGGCCGCGAGATTTTTTTCTTCTCTCTCTCTCTTACCCTTTGAAACGCATAGCCCGCGCGCGCTCGAGTTGTTTTTAGTGTCTCTCCTCTCTGTTGTGTAAGTTGAACCGTGATTGTGTGTGTGTGTGCCAGCGTGCTTTGTTGGATCTTAGTGTGTGTATACATAATTATATATGTATAGTGCCTATGCCTATTAAGAATATGGTCTGAGAAAGAACGCGAAAAGACTTGAAGAAGAACTTTCGATAAATTCCACCCTGGGGCAGCGTCAGACCATCCATCTCGGCATCCCATACCCACACGTGCCCCAGCAACAAGAACCAGAACAACATCTGTACTAGGAAATACCACCCCAAAATCGTACAAACAAAAAATCCACCGAAAAATTCGTATTCATTATTCGTGAAGCAGTTGCCGGGTCGCTAGGGATCCGATTAAAAATTAAACGATAATAATGAGGCAGGCAGGTGTGAGTGCTCCTTCTTCATTTGTCCAATCCAATGACATGTTTTGAATAATTCAATTAATACTTGTTAGTTGGCCTGACAAATGCTCCGATGATGGACTCCCTTACAGACACACAAACACACACACGAGAGTCATCCCCTGACAAATTATTAGGGGTACCGCTTCCACACAATGCGAATCATCATCACAGAGAGACCGGCAATGCTGATGATGTCTATAAATGGGGCGGACAGGCAAGCTACATAAGCCAGGCGAAGCCACTCCCGCGTCCTATTCAACTGCCCCACATTGTGGTGGTGTGTGAGTGGGCAGAATCACGAACGCCGAACACGTTCCTGGCCTTTAAGTTTAAACATGATGAGGCTCCTTCTCGGCCAGTTTACAAATATGTATTCCATTCGTTTTGTCGTTTCATTTCTTCTGCCGCCTGGTTGGCTTCTTACCTGTGCTTAGCACGCGTGCTGAAGGTTAAGGCGTTTTAAGCGTCCACACCAGAGTCAACTTCCAACATCACCCCACTCCACCTTGCACGTGTTGTTTTGGTTTCGGTTTCGTTACGCCTCACAACAACAACAACAACATCACCAACACCCATGATAGCAACAACTACAACAAACAGCTTTTTCGCAGGTTTCGCTCACGCTCTTTGGATGAAACTTTAGAGCAAACTCTGCTACTGCTGTTGCGGCTCTCTTATCGTTTTTTTGCCGGTTTTATAGAAAGGGAAAAAACGTATAAACTAGTGGAAGCCACAGTGGAAAAGCTTGAGCGGTGGCAGCTCATCTGTTGGCTCTGCTTCTGTGTATACGATTCGTGTTTGGGTTGCATGTTTTTCACGGAGTCCAAAGGTTGCCTGGAGACAGCTGTTGATGGATCTCAATCTCATAATCCCTGCTGCTCACTCCTGCCCAAACGTGTAATTGGAACTGTCCATAACAGCTCCTCCTACTGTCCTCCCGTCCATGATTCGCATTCCCCGAGTACATACCGGCTGGTAATTACTCTGCAATGCATACCCATCTGGGAAAACATTCCAATTAACACGAAGAAGCTGTTGCCAGCACCACACAACACAAAACTAATTATACAATCAGCCAGGCCAGCGAGCAACCTGTCCTTCAAGGTGATTCTTGGCGTTGTCTTTGAGTTGGGAGGGTCAGGGCTGTAGTGGTTCCTCGTGGCAGCAGGCCCCCGAGAACATTGATTAGTCGTATGGCCTGATCTATGCCTTTGCAGACACAGAATATACATAATCGAAATTAATTTCCATTCGCTTTGCGCATAACTTGTTTTCGATTTCGTTTTCAGACAACTTAAGTATATGGAAATTGTATTCTCCAAAGTGAATATGATGTACGGGTGTGAGTGTGCTGCTAAGTTGTTCTTGTTGTTGTCCGAGTCGAGTAGTTGTGGGATATATTATTTGTTTACAAAAATAGTTGACTGCTGGCTAAGTTCAAACAAACAAACAGGGGAATGGGTAATTAAAGTTGTTTATCAGCAATTTCCACTAAATCCATTCAGTTTGTTGATACACAAAAAGAACAAATGAGGCTTGATATCTTGGAACTTGTATGATTTATGGGTTACAGTCAGCCGGAGTGCCCTTCCACTCTCATTCAATGTCCGGAGGATGCATCTACTTTTGACCTACTCAAGAAACGACCTTCCTCTAGTGCATTGCTTATCTGTCAGTCACCCATAAATGGGCTGGCTGAAATAAATTGTAGTATTAAATGCCACAGTTTCCTTGCTTCCGACCTTTTTCGTTTAATATGCGACATCTGTTTTTAAGTTAATTTCAATGCATTAACTTTTTTCTCTAGTCTGATTTTGCGGCTTGCTTTTTCAAGTACATTCTCCAGAATGGATTGTGTTGTATTGTTGAATAAAATATGCTTAAAATGGCTTATCTTATCATTTTTTTTCGATTGGCTTAGTTGATCAATCGAAACGAGGCAGACCTGATGGGGGGAAAGTGGCGCGTGTGTCCATACGAGTATCTATCCATTTTTTAAGTGTGTGCTGGGATTGTGGCATTGTGTCATCGTCAGCGCAAATTAGTGATGTTCCCTGATTTGATTGTATTGTGATGTTTGTTCCAGTTTATTGCACACTTTGCTCAACAATAGAGAGGACAAAACAGGTGAATTACTGGTCTATTTGACCATGCAATCTCCGTCACTTGATTCACATTCCCGTTTACATTTCACGTGGCTGCACCATGCGATAGACACTTTAATTAGCAATCCGAGCCATTTGCGTGTGCGACTATGCTGGCACTGGACGACACTGAGATGAAGCTCCTCCCTCCGGCTGGCTGGTTGCCAACGCAACTCGATTAATTTGCTGAATAATAGATTATTTCCAGCCAACAAATGAGCCACCTTGTTGGCCAGCAATTATGTCCAGATTTCAATCGAAGACAGCAGACGGTAAGCGAAAAACAGCCCACAATGCTTTTTGGGAAGTCTTTGTGTTGGGTGTGCAACGTTTTCCTGATAAGCGACAAGCAACACAGATGGAGCTAAAGCATTTGGGATTACCGATAAAAACAGCGAAGCGGCTGGACTGCTGTACAAAGTCCACGGGGTGCATGAGTAATCAATCCCCCCTGCAACGACCAGAGTTCGGCTTGTGCATACAAGACCTGTTGGCCAATGGAGCGACGCTTGGCTTGGCGCACAAGCATGACAAAGACTGGCTTGCTAACCTTGCTGCCAGCGATGCTTGTGTCAAGTGGACTCTACATGTTACACAATCAAATTTGCGATTCTTTGCGATTGAAATTAGATAAGACGCCCAAGCAGCTAGTACTCGTATAGAACAGCTACTCATCGCTGTTCCGTAGCTCGCTCTTGTATACATTTTATGCACAATTCAATTCCCGTCTGCATTCTGCGCCGTGGCAATGCAACACATACCCACACGATCGTATACTAGAGAGAGGTTCCATTGTGCACTAGTGCCCCTCCTCGCATAACAATGGGCAGCGCACTTGAGTGAGTTTATCTGTGCATTTGCATTTTATACCGGGCATCAGGCATACTAAGTGCTGTCAATCAAAAGAGTTCACAACCCCCAACCAATTGGGTAAGACGGCAAATAAAAATACGAGCTGGCAAATATTTTCAATGTGTGTGTGTGGGGAGGGAAAGGAGGAAAGGAAAGTTCTGGCTAGATAAGAGGGGCTGCCCTTTGTACCATATCTGCATGCAATTAATTTCAAGAATTTCCATAAAATCAATTTGTTAGGCTAATCCATAATAGAGTATCATCCGATAGGGGCGACGACTATCAGTGCTTGGCATTAGATTAAGAAAGTCTGTGGCCAGTCAGCCAGGCAGCACAAAGAAAAAAGATACTTTAACGGCATTCAATTAGCCAGGCGACACAAACATTTCCATTGAATGTGCCCAACAGTCACACTTAATGAAACAATGAACGATAAGCGATGTGCCAAATGATTTGAACTTTGTCAGTTGTCTTCCATTAGCCGTTCTGCCAGATATTAGACCAGGCCCGACAATTGACCGGCTTTGACGCACAGCTGCTGCAGCCGCTGCCAGCCACTTGATTCCAACAAGTCACTGGGCAATAGTTTTTGTATCAACCACTGAAACAGCATTCGAGCCTCTCTCTCTCTCTCCTGTAGGGGTGGACAACCACAGCCAGGCCTCGACAGCGGAATCGTCAGTGGCATCGGTCTGGGCTGCGCCAAGGTGCCGCTGCAGTATTGCATTGATTTTCCTGACGAGCGGATTGCCACAGCCCCTGCCGCGGGTGCCTGCCTTTGCCTCGAGTGTGTGTTGTGTTCGTTGGAGGAAATCAAGTGTAAGTTGAGCTCCAACTATCTACTATCTGGGTTGAGGAGAGTGCGAGTGTTGTCAAGTTGTGAGATTTCATAATAATGTTCACGTAGTATTATTATCTGAGTGCTTATTGTGGGTGTGATTTTTCCGACTGTGAACTGGCAACTGAAAACTGAAAACTGGGACTGTGATCGGGGTTGTATGGCCAGTCAACCACCTAGTAGGCTGTCGCTGGGGGCTTGCATATACTTATTGAAAAATGCAAAGGCGTTTGCAGCATATTGCCGCATTTGATTCGCTATAAATAGCCACACAGCCGCAAACACAAAGCGATGGGAATGTTTTCCCGCTGTTTTCCTACATGCAACAACGAGCTTTCCGGCCTCCTTCTCTGTTCTTTTGTTTCTCTCTCCTTCGATCCGACACGACCCTCAACTTGAACCTTTTGTCGAGTGCCACCACAAGAAGCCTCAAGGGCATTACAACAGCACGTCACCGACTAACATTATGCGGCATATTTGACATCATCTAATTGGATTCACATAGTGGGGGGTGTAACCAAGTTATCCAAGCTTTCGTTATAAATATCTATCTCTGTAATGGACAGAAGAGACAAGTCTTGAAGTTGTATGTGAAAACTAACATAAGTATTACTTTCATTCAGTGTCCGATCAGAATACATATCTCTAATTTTTCAGAATTTATTTATTTGTTGAAATCCAAAACAGAAGCAAGATCTTATCGGAGTTTGACGAAAAGTTCTGTCAGTGGTCCCACGTGTCGTATTATTTGTTTACTGCTGCACTGCCAACCCTCAAGTGTTTGTTTATTTATAGTCTGGCTATTCGTTTGAAGAGAACGCGAGAGAGAGACAGAGAGAGAGAGAGAGAGAGAGAGATAGATTTGAGTGGAAGAGGCCACTGACCTTGACCAGATTGTTTAAGCATAGTGTTCCACCCCCTCTACAGTGGATTTGATGAGCGGCATTCATGTCCCCCAAGCAGTTCATTGTAGGATCGCATATGATTAAAAGTAAACTTTTCATTTAACTTACAGCTTGTGTGCTGCCTGCAATATGCTGATTGTGCTCTAATTTATTGGCCCACAGCCAGTCCACAGCATCGGACTTTGGCCATTGTCAGCAGCATTTTGGCAATGTTTGCCAGAGGATCTGCGTCAGCTATTGAATCGTACGACAGCAACGGGAACAACGGTAAACCTCTCAGAGAACATGGTACTGCAGTCGGAGTGGAGATAGAAAAACTCAGCAACAGCAGAAACGGAAACAGAGACAGAGACAGAGACAGAAGCCCTAGCGATAAGGGAACAGACTGCTCACCGTTGCAGGAAATCGATGAGCATTACGTCTGTGACATTGCCATGATGAGAATCGGTGGAGACGAGCCGAAAGGGGCTGTCGATGACTCACAATCATCGACCGTTCCGGAGAACGAAAGTACAAATGATGATGCGAACGAGTTGGAAATCGATCGCCAGGAGGAGGAGCAGGTGGTCAGCGATCTGGTGCGATCGAGTAGCGCTGGTGCCCTAATGGAAGGGTAAGTTACACCCGAGAATCGATAGATTGCATAACCCATAATAATCCCATCTAATGTCTAATTAGGGACAGCAACAATGGGGGCAGCATGCGAGTGGTATTTGGCATACTGGTGCGTCTGGTGCTGCCACTCGCGAATGGTGTGGCCCGTGGCATTCAGGGCATTCGCGATGTTCGTATGCTTCAAGTGCTGCAGAATCTGGCCTCCAGCAGACAGGCCCTAACCCATTTGGTGGCATTTGCCGCCAATACAATTTCCATGAACTTGTCCTCAGTGCAGGGTAAGTGTTTCCTCTCCCAGTAGCTCTGGCTAAGATTAACAATCTCTTTTGGTTTCTCGCCACAGTTTCGAATCGGTTGGGACCGCTGCTCAAGCTGCTGAAAATGCGTAAATCGCAGGATGGCTTGGAGAGTCTTCCCGACACACTAACTGCGCCCAGCACACCCTGTACACCCTTTAGTCCAATGCAGGGTCCGCCCATCTTTGGCGTACGCTCGGATGCACCCAGCTGTTGCACCATCAACATACTGGCCGAGCCGCCACCCGGTGAGCCGATACGAGCCGATATTGTACTGATCCATGGTCTGCACGGATCGCTGGTGAACACCTGGAAGCAGGGACTCTGGCAGAACGATCGCAAGCCGGTGGAGTTTGAGCGTCCGCCGCGTCCTCCAGTGCGACCGCCCAAGCGACCACGCCACTCCCGCAGTGCAGCCATTCATCCAGCGCCCAGGGAGAAGAGAGCCAAATTTACCTCCCTCGACCGTTTGATGGACACCCCCGATGATGCTCCAGTTCGGCAGAGGGTGCGACTGCAGCAGCCAGCGGAAATGCCGCCAGAAGAGTTCAATTTTAATGCTTCCGATAGCGATGATACCGAAGAGTAAGCATAACCCCTTTGGTGTTTAATCAGTAATTAACGTCTGCTCTTTAGCTATGCCTACGTGTGCGGTGACCCCGAGGACATACAAATCTGCGAGGGAATCGAGTACAGTTTTCCGACGTTCCGACTAAGAATGCAGGACAACAGCCGCATCCGAGCGGGCGAACTCGAGTCCATGCTCAATGGAAATGTCAACGAAAACGCTGAAAACAGCGAGGAATCCAAAAAGCGGCCACCAGTTTCTTCCAGTGCTGGGCCGCGCAAGTCCAGCAGAAAGAACAAGCCCTCGCCCAACGATCCAAACTACTCCAAGTGCTGGCCCGGCGACTGGTTGCCGCTGGACTGTCCTGGAGTTCGGGTCATTGCCGTAAACTACACCACCGATCCGTACCTGTGGCGTCCACTGTGGAAGAGAAAAGAGCCTCGCTCCAACTTGTTCCAGCGCTCCCGGGAAATGGCCGATCTACTCATGCAGCATCGCGTGGGACACGGTCATCCCATCATCTATGTGGGCCACTCGAAGGGCGGACTGTTCATCAAGCAGCTAATTGTAGATGCCTGGGAGTCCGGGCGTCCCGCCATGACACCACTCTGGCGCTCGGCACGCGGCTGCTTTTTTTATTCAGTGCCGCATCGTGGCTCCCATTTGGCGAGCATCAAAGCGCCACTGCTCTCCCGCTCCGTAGAGCTTCTGGAGATTGAAAAAAGTAAGCAAAGTAAAGAATTTTCAATTTAGGGTGGAATAATAAACTCATCTTTTCCAACAGACAACAAGTATCTCTTGGACCTGCATCGGCGGTTTGCTGGACTATATCATCTAGGTCATCTGAAGATTGAGGTGTTTAGTTTTGTGGAGACGGCCCTGACGCTCATGTCGGTTCTTTATCTGCGCATTGTGGGCGTGGATTCGGCAGGTGAGTCTTTCACACAACAATCTAAAAATATTATTTTAAATTTCATATTTTACAGATCCCGGGTTCGGTGATGTCTGCGGCATACGGCTGGATCACCGCGAGATATGCAAACCCCGTGGACGTGATTGTATATTGTACAAAGAACTGGTGAAAATGATTGAGAAGGTGTGCTGAGCTGAGCCTGTCAGTCGCCTGAAAGGAAAATACATAAATTATTGTGCGAGGACCTGATATTGTTGTAATCGATATGTGAATAATATGGCCAACTGTGAGGATGCCACGAGAATTACGCGTACCTTAATGTGATGGCCCGGATCACGGACCGTATGTCCAGGGCACGCTTTTTCGTGTTAGAGCGTCGCTTTTGTTTTCAATAGTGCATAGCATCTATTACATATTGAATATTTTCACTAATTTTACACATGTAATTCGCTTATCCATAGCTCAAGTTAGTTATACAGTTAGTTGTTGTTTCTAGTTTAGGTCCCATATCAGAACAAGGTATAGAGACACGCTTAAGCCATGCCATTTGGGCATCAATGATAATTATTTTTGCAATTTTTGTGATCGATTGTGATCATCTTGTGGCACTTTGTTGTGATTTTCACTCGATCCCCCCCGTGAATACATTATTGATATTGTACCATTTATATATATGTTTATAGAATATGTACATTTAGATATCGCTAGTACTTTAAATGTCTATCCACGTATATCTTCTACAAGCATAAATCCTACACCGCTGTAAAACGTTACCATCGACTACAAAAATGTAATATATGAATGAATGTATATGTGAATTTCCAGATTACTTAACCAATCGATGTTTTATACCTATTTGATAAGAGTGAATACTAATAAAACCAATTAATGAAGATCATATTTGATAAAATAAATAAATGCTGGAATGTAAAGGGGTGGATAGCTGTCCCGCACTCCACGTCCAGAAATGTAAGCGTTGATATATCCATTGCATTCATCAATCAGATGTCAACGAACTTTAAACACAAGAGTATCTTTCGCATACCATTTTTATCTGGCATGTCCAAACATACATACATATGTATATTTTACATGTATTCTACAGCAGTGTGTATGTAGATACAGTCTCCCAAAAATATGCTACAAGATTCATCACGTGAATTATATGAATGTTTTATTTACGACCTTTTTATCAGATTAAAAAAGAAATAAAAATTAAATTGAACTAAATTACATTTCTGAGACTGCAAAAAATTATCATTTTGAAGAGAAAAACTGTTTCGTTTTTATACATCATACGCTCCATTTTCAATTCAGTTTATGGTTATAAAAACATTACCCGAGCACGATGACATTTCCCATTATTTCTCACAAATAAATAAAACACCATTTTTTTTATGTTTTTTCCATCATAACTTAGTTTTTAGTATATTTTTCCAATAGTTAAGGTTGCTTCATTTATTGTGTTCTGCTCTGCCATCATATCTTCATCATCTGTATTCTCCAAACAAACATCGAGCTTCGTTTCACATTTCGTTTAGACTCTTTAGCCGTGCCAATATGCCATTGCTGTGGCTTCTTTTGCTTCTGGCTGGTTGGTTGTTTTGATGGTTTGTTTGGTAAATGCCAATTACCTTGCATCGAAAACTTTAACACGAACCGTTGGCAGCTTAGGTGCTACAAATAATTAATTTCGCTTGCACATACAATGCATATAAATTGCATAAAAAATACATTAGTTTTTGTTTTGTTTCGTTCCGTTTTGCTTTCAGTTATTTTATGGATAGTTAAAACATACTTTTTCTTTGTTCAAAAATAAGGAAAACCAAGCCTAAATACGTTTACAAAATTTAGTAGCTTGCCACTCTACTAATGAGGTATACAAAATGCGGGCTTAAATGCAAACTAAAATTACAAAAATAAAATAATAGAATAATATATGTATATGCATATATCCTTTTTTGTACATACACATGCAATATATATATGTAGACTTAGTAGAGAGTGTGCTAGGAGCAGCAGCTTTGCCAAAGATTCGAACATAATCATGGTTTCGCCTTATAATTTTAGTGGACTTTTAGTTATTGGTTTCGATTTGGTTTCCATGGGCCAAAAACCGTTGCAAAAGTCGCAATACGCATTTCTCTGTCTTCCTAATCATTAATTTCTTTATCTGTTTATTGTTTTTTTTTTGCGCTTAAATAATTTAAACATTTATCACATCCACTTACACGGCGATCACAATCGCAGCTATATTACTTAATTTTCTCCTTTTCCTTCCTAAACGTTCGTTCCTCTTTCTCTTTTCTTTTCCAAACACGTAATAGTACATACATATGGATCTCTTATGCCTAATTATATATTTTTTAGTACATAAATTTTTTCTCATGTTGCCTTTTTACTGCATATGTATAATAGTATTAGTTAATTTTCTTGTCGTATGCTTAATTTTTGTAACGTTTAAAATGTCCTCTTCGTATTTTTCTCCGTTCTAGGAATTTTGAGTTTTTCTTTTGCGGAATATTTTTTTTTCTCTTAATTTCTTTTTGTTTGTTTGTTTCTTTAAATGCCTTTTATTTTTGTATATATGTAATTTAAAGTTCTTTGCTAAATGGAACACTGGAAATACCTTGTAAACGGTTTTAAACTTATGCGGCTATACATCTATAACATCGATCAGTGTGTTGGAAATGCAGAGTCTGTGTGGCTTTATTCGGTATGAACACAAATGAGATTGTTATTGTTGGATAAATAGTAGATGGTAAATGGTAAATGGTCTATGCATGACCCCCAACTGAATGTTGTTCGGGTCTGAGCATCTCTGGCTCATTGCTGGTTTATATGGAAAGGTACTATTGTTTATAGTTGCTGGTTGGTTTTCTTGCCTCAGGGATCTTCTAGTTATTTATGGATTTTGTGTTGGTATTGCACTTAGACTCTAAATACGTATACAGTTACAGTTACAGTTTTCAAACACATTTTCTTTTTCGCTCACATCGAATCAGCATATATATATAGCATATACATATGTATTTTTGTTAGTGTGTGTGTGTGTGTGTGTGTTTGTGTACATATATATTCATATTTTCATTATTTAAAATTTCTCTCTATTTGTTGTTAGAGTTTGTTGTTCTCCGTGTTTATGTTGTCTGTGTGGTGCATTTTTCAGTGGAATGTATAGTTTTTTTGCAAGTATATATTTATGTTTGTGTGTATGTGGGAGTGTTTATGTTTTGCATTTCGTAACAATCATTTTTGTTTCTCATTTCACACTGAACAACAATTCACAAAATACACTTTATATCCTGGCTAAATACTCGTCGTCATTGCGGGACTACTACTTTAACTTTTTCTATGCTTATCAAAAATAATATCATGGATACATATGCATGTATTTATGTATATATGGTATATGGGTAAGTAGTATGTATGGATGAATGTGGGTGTGTTTGCTGTATGTTTTGGCGTAGCTACAGGTTTAGTTATTTTTTTTTTTTACAAACGAGGTACGGTTGCTGAATCGAATATATAAATACAATAGGGTTGCAAAATGCCAAGGGTTCTATGTCTGATTCTGTATGGTATTTATGTTCTTATGTAATGGGAATCTGTGTCCAGCATGTGTTTGTGTGTGTTATGGTGTGTGATAGCGAGTGAGAGCACAGAAACAAGAATGCAAAATGAATATAATCAGGTACATTTGATATATCGGTTGTATAAAAACAAAAACAAACAAAATTCAGCAGTAAAAAATGCAGAAATTAAATATTTAGTTGTATAAGAACTGGGGGGGTAGGTGCATGTATCAAATAAGAATACAAATACGTGTACGAATACAAATACTCGTACACAAAATTGATTAAATTACGTTTTAAATCGGTGAATCGATGTGAACACTTGTGACTATTGTGGTTGAGTGTGGTTTGAGTGGGTGGCTGTGTGTGTATGTATGTGTGGGCTATTGCAATATGTGTGGTTTCTGTTTGGCTTGTTGTATGTACTACAAATATGTGTGTTTGTATGTGTGTAGTAATTGAATCTTTTGCGGCAGTCCGGATACGAGTATAGATTGTAAAATGTAGTACGTAATTACAAGTGACAAATATTGTCACGCATAAACATAAACATGTTTATGCATGTTCGTATCGTATGCTCCGACAGCAACAATAAATTATGTATTGTATTGGTATTGTATGTTTCTATGTTTAAAGATGTTACATGTAATAAAAATTAGCCTCAATTAACGAAAAAAAAAAACAAACAAAAACTAAACAAGTACAAAATACAATAAGAATATAGTTTAAAAAAATCGTCGCGATACAAAAACCTATGTATGAATAGCTTAGAATTTAGCTTACATAATATGTATGTGTTTATATATGTATATGTGTTGTGTGTGTGTGTGTGTGTATATGTGTATGTTTATAAATATCATCCTTATTCGAATCATTTCTCCCATAGTTCCAGTTTCAGTTTATAATTAATTATCTACATTTATAAAATGTATTCTTTATAAATGCCTATCATCACCATACAATCTAGTGGATCCATCCTTCAACGTGTTTTGGAATGTTTCGAGCTGTGAATGTGGTTTACATACTCTCCTCCTCCTCCTTCCCCTCTCCTCTCTTTTGTAGCTTCATAAAAATACTTTTGCTTGGCTTGGCGGGGCTGCTGCCCTGTGGCTGTGGCTGTGGCTGCTGGCTCACCCATTGGGATCAACCTGTGCCCGGCGGTGTACCACTTGCGCCGCCGGCCAGGGCTGTTTGCCACTTGCCACTTGACCTGTGACCGTGGCTGTGACTGTCGCAGTGTTGTCAACGGCCGACGTGTGTGGCCCATTGGCAGGAACTATGGATGCATTGTGGCTGTACGAGATCGGATTGCCATTGCCTCGCTGGCGATCCTTTGGCTGGCCGGCAGACGGCTTCTTCTGACTGTTGCTGCTGCTGTTGTTATTGTTGCTGTTACTGTTACTGCTGCTGCTACTGCTGTATTTGGACGCATTGGCGGCGGTTGACCTCGCCTGTTTGGTCATGTCGGCGGGTAACTTGAAACCATTGGTGAGACAGACGGCAGCATACTCGTGCTCCGAGGTGGGTGTCAGTGTAGCGGCCGCCTCCTCCTCGGCCAGCAGACAGATGCCATCGTTGGAATTTGAATGCCGCACAAAGTTTGTGTGGAATTGCTTTTTGCTGCTGCCGTTGCTGCTGCTGCTGGCACTGCTACTGCTGAGGCTGCCGCTGCGTCGTGCACTGCTGCCGTTGCCCCCGCCACCCAGTCCGGTCACTGTGGCCACCAGCGGCAACGAGTTGGGCGGCACAGCCACTTCTAAGCAGCCGCCGCCGACACCCCCTTCGCCATTGGTCGAGGAACATTGTTTGTGGCTGGCATTGGAGCCGCCAGCTGACCCCAGAGCCACGACATTGGGCGGTGTGTGGCGATAGGGAATGTAAAAGGCCTTGGCCTCCTGCAACATGGCATCCTGCACTGTCTTGCGCTCCGGCGATCCTCCCCCGCACAGCGGCAGCTGCGACAGGTTGTGCACGCCGGCAATGCTCAACTCTGAGTGCCCCTCGTGGTCGGGGCGTCGCGAGACGATCTGGACAGTGCCATTGCCATTGGGCAGGTGGACGGCGGCAGCGTGTGCCGTGCTGGTCTGATACTCCAGCGTGTGCTCCGGCAGCAGTTCGATGTGGTAGCGCGAGCGCGGAATTAGCGTCTGCATCTCGTGGCAGTCCTGCTGCAGGGTGCCGCCACTGAGGCCGCCCGCACTATCCCCAGGCATGCCAGAGGCG